GATAACGCACTACGGCACACAAGAGTTCAAGGTGTTTGACTTGGGCTCCAAATTTTCCAGATCTCAGTCCCTTCAACCATCTGTGGGATGTGCTGCAAAAACAAGTCCAACCCATGGGGCCCCACCTCACAGCTTACAGGGCTTAAAGGATGTGCTGACACATTCAGAGGTCTTGTGGGGTCCAGGCCTCCATGGCTCAATGCTGTTATGGCTGCACGAGGGAAACCTTAGGCAGCTGGTTTTTAATGTCATGGCTGGTCAGTGTAAATCACAGCTGACCGTCCTTTATAAGATTTTTTTTATATAAATAAGTCTTTGTTTGATTTTTGATTATTGAGTTTGAGCATCGAGAGACATTATTAGCCCGGGTCTGTCGGAGGTTTCTTCCATTAAAGGGAGTTTTTCCTCCCCACTGTCGCCAAGTGATGCTCAAGGGGGGGTTACTGGGTTCCTCTTTATAATACTGTAAGGTCTAGACTTTACTATATAAAGTGCCCTGATAAGATTATTGTTGTGAATTGAAGAAAACATCTGAATGGTTCAGAAATAACACATCAAATTAGACGTAATTCAAGGAAAGCGCTGACTCAGCCCCAGCCATGACCTGTCTGTGCAGCAGTTTCTCCTTCCTTACATTCTGCTGCCCTGTGGCTGACCATGTGCTGTAGGCTAAAGTTAGTGTACATACAGTAGTGCTGCAGTCCCACAAGCTTGTGGTTTCTCTGCTGCCTGGAGGAACACTGCTGGCTGCTTAACACAGCTACCAGCTTTCCATTCGTCAGACCTTTGGCAACATTGCTGTGTCAGAACTTAACACAGGCTAAAATCAGAGCACTTAAAGAATTACAGATGCCAATTTACTATTTACTATTCTTTGATGAATGTAAAGAGCTTTGATGCACTTTCTTCAGCAGAGACTAGTGCCACTGTTGATGCACTGGTATTTTCAGCCTGATTAGGTCTGTAAAGCTACGTTTTTGTCTGTGTGCAGGCATTATCACAGCATGGAGGTGTTTACACACTATGACCTGTTCAGCCTCAACGGAACCAAAGTGGCAGAAGGACACAAAGCAAGTTTTTGCCTGGAGGACACGGAGTGTGATGATGGTGAGAGCCACATTATGTCAGTAATGGGCCATTCACTGTTTTTATTTGAACAATGAATAAAATGACTAATCATTTTTAAATATCTTATTACAGGTACTGAGAAAAAGTATGAATGTGCTAACTTTGGTGAGCAGGGTATCACTGTGAGCTGCTGGGATACCTACAGGCATGACATTGACTGCCAGTGGGTTGACATCACTGACGTCAAACCTGGAGATTACATTTTCCAGGTAATGTTTTCCGTGTTCTGTTTTTATTCTCTCTAAATAAACAGCACCATTACACATTGCAGCCAATGGGACGGGCCTTTCACTGTCATCTCTGACTCATTTCTGTTCTCACTCTTGCAGATAGTAATTAATCCAAACTATGAAGTGCCAGAGTCAGACTACACCAATAACGTCGTGAAATGCAGGTGTCGATATGACGGCCATCGTGTATGGATGTACAGCTGCCATAATGGTAAGACCTCGTGATAATTCAGAGGGATATCAGTGACATCTACTGCCCTCATAATGTTGATGAAAAGAAGACATATATTATACTACTCTTATTAACACTTGCCTCAGTTGCATTCCAATAAAGATGTTGTGAGGTTTGTTATCTATGTGCAGACACATATCACATCACTGAAGCAAATCGAGTCTGTTCTGCTACTTTTTTCTAGTTTGTTAAATAGTTCAGCTTGATTAAAAATGATTTATTATTGATCTTATGGATGCACTAGTCATTTAAAGTTAGTATTAGTTTGACAAAATCATTATGCTAAATTTCCACTTACAAGTTTTTTTCTGAGATTTTCACCCACATCTCATGGTCTTTTTTAATAGATGGGAGTATGGTCGGTCATATGGCGATTAAGACTATAATCCTTGCCTATGCTCAGCTCCATTTGCAAATAATAACTTTAAGACATGGTTGAAAGCTCTGGAGGAAGCTATTTAGTATGTGATCAAATTACTGTCCCCAAGGTCAGTTTCATACTGTAGTATTATAGATATTACAATATTTATGGTAACAGCCAAGAGAGGCAATGAAAAGCTAATTTAATTTCCTGATTCACTATCATCTGGTGTACTTATGCTGAGGGAAGACATGAAAGAAACTGAAACTACTGGTAACTCCGTCTGTGTTTGCTGCTCTGCTAGGTGGCTCATTAGGCACTGAATCGGATCAGACGTTCCCTGGTCTCCTCAACAACCAGGTGGCCCATAGGTAAAGCCAGAATGGGAGAGGAATCGACTAGCCGGTCCCTCAGGCAGGGAGACTGCCCGAAGCCCACCAACCAGTACACATCCACAGCCCTGCCCTGGCCAGACAATCTTTGTACGTTCCCTTCATCCATCTGGCAGCAGCTTCCTTTGACCCCCACCTCCACACTGTTTTCTCTCAGCAGAAAGAAAATATTTGATTCTTCCTCCTGTCCAAACAGAGGCAGGTACAGCCTTACCAATTAATATCCAGAGTACAGCAAAGCTCTGTGCATGCCCTCTTTTTGGAATGAATAATGAATTAAACCTGCTGGGAAGTGGCAGGTATTTTACACAAGGTGCAGTTCTCGGGGGCGTCATCGAGAATGTGTCTCCTTTAAAGTGCAGGACTCCAACAGAGCCCTGCTGCAGTAGTTTTTGTTCAAAGCTCACCCTGGTGAGTGCAGATTGACTGGAATCATCGCTAACAACAGCAGAGCAGTCTGCGTTCTTCCACCTTTCAACAGTTTCATAAAGTACCTTTTACACACTCAAGTCCACTTACACCAAGGTCATGCCACACAGGCAAATGAGCATTTCTTTTACATATCAGCTATTTAAGCTTAACTACATCCTCACTGATGAGTTTGTGCAAATTAGGCTGTGGCACAAGCAAGTTCCTAAAAAGTAAACAGCCTACTCATCACCAATTACTAGTGCTAACTGCTTGGTCCAGCTGTAACAGGGCAGAAACCTTAACTACTCAAGTAAAAGTCACTGGGGCATTTGTTTTCTGATTTGCACTGTAGACTATACATTGGAAATTCTCATTTCCAAGAGCAGATCCTGTGGGGGAGGTGGTGCTGCAAAGTGAGTTGAGAGAAGTTTGTCCAAGAATAAAATTATGCGAGCAAAGATGTTTTATTTTCTACAAGCACCGTCAGATAACCTTCCAGTTACTGTGCACAGTTGGTGAGAAGCAAAATATTCAGGTTTAGGTCACTTTGTGTCCTCTTGCCACTGGTCACTTAGGGGAAGATTAGCTCCCAGACTATGTCTTACTGTCTTCATGCTCATAACACTTTCCTCTTCATGATATGTAGCAGTATTTTGTTTTTGTTTAACATGGTGCCTCATGTTTCTCTTGTCCTGGTTAAGGGCTGTTACAAAATGCCCATATCTATGACCTCCAGTGGTTTAACTTCTCATCTTGCTCAGTGACGTATCAGTGTGATCCAGGTCATATCAGTATCATTACTGGGCCTAGTTCCTGATGTGACAGATCCATGGATGTATTAAAGGAACCAAATATGATCTGAAAGTCTGTACCCACTCACCTAAATGAAAATTGCTCATAAGCAAAACAAAAGGTTTTCTAGCTTCCAGATTTGTTTCCATTTTGTGTGGTCTGCCCTGTGTGCTCCTGCTTGGTCCATAGGCTTGACATTGTGATGAAAATGAAACACATTTCTAGCCTCTGAGAAAGTTTTACAAATATTGATTCAAAAGTGATAGTAGAAAGAGTGAAAACAGTTCTTCTCTGCAGTAGGGGGCATTGTATTAACTGGAAAATGCTTTTTGGGTCACAGGGGATTCTTTGCAATACTGCAAGTGACTACAGGTGGGAGTAAACTGGCAGCAAAACAGAGTCATGCAGCTCTCTTAAAACATCCATGGACAGAACACATGTCTGACCACACCCAACCAAAGGTTAAACTGGCTTTAAACATTCAACCTCAGAGGACATAATGCTGCAATTCAGCCTCTTTAAACATAATCCTTTAATTTAGTGCAGCAGTTATTTTCTCTTTGTCATTTCATTTGCCAAATCTCAGCAGACTAGTGCCTACTTTTGGACAACAGCCCTGTGCCATTGGTTAGCCTAAATACTGGCCTACGTATACACTGTGTGTGTGTATACTGTATATGGAGAGCTTCTTTGAATATGCCCAGTGAAATCATTTTAAACTGCATAATGACTTTGTCACACCAGTATTCAAAACAGCAACATTTTGTGGCATTTTAAATTAATTCCAATGTGATTGCTGTAATTAGTGGATTAATTTGCTTAATTTAAAAAGAAAAGCATAAAATGCCAGACAACAGCAGATAGAAAATAGAGAGAATCTATGGGTGCTATTGTTACTGTTAGGGGGATATTTACTAAACCTACTGTAAAGGTCTCAGATGACTAACAGCTGCCATGCTGACAGCAGTGTCACAGATGTTACACCTACTTCCTTCTGACATTAAATTTCAGCCACAGTTTCCTCTGTAGCTGCAGTGATGTATCAGGTGCTGAAAGTATTTGTATAAATTTCCATTCTCTCCTCCCTGATTTTTGTGTCCCCCTGAGTGGGAATGCCTTAAAATACATACAACATACAATGCGCAAATTCCTGCAGTGCCACATTTCTTCTGTTTCTACCCCGTAAAACCCCACTGCAACTCCTTAGTAAATATGAGCACACAACTTCACTGTTTAGCACCAGAAAAACCCCTTGGTCTGCCCAGCTGGTATGTTAGTGCTTAGCTGAACAGGTTTCTACAGCCAGGCAAGTAGCCACTATGTCACTAAGCTTCTAGGACCACATATTTTGGGAAGATGCGCATTCCTGTAACAATTTGTGGTGTGACCAGACCTTAAAACGTCACAGTCCTGTCACAGGCTGACTAACAGCTAACCGACAGCAGCCTGAGACACAACATAAAACCACCCAGCCAACAGTAGCTTTCTGGCTATTGTTTTCTGTATATCTCCTGTAGCCTACTAGCATGAACCATAGCTTAGCTACCAACCACCAGGGCAGTTTGCAGGGTAGATTACTGATTAGTTTTGCAGTTGCAGCATGTCATACAAGCTAACTGCAAGAAAAAACAATGCTAACAAAGATGCTATCTGTACTTAGCTTGTCAGCTGCAGTTACCTCAGCGACTTGATTTACATTGGTGTCCAAGCCCCTGCCAGCTCAGCTGCCAGTCAGACACGTACACCAGTATGCCCACTCCGAGGCTTGAAGGGTAACGAGTGTGTGTGCTGTGTCTCCAAAGACCTTTGTTTAATTATAAATATATTAATGATAATTTTTTTTTAAAATCTGTTTTGTGTTTTATGACACCAGTCTATATGTTGCTGAAGTGTGTCTCATGTCTTGCAGAGCCAGTTGACTCTACATGAGGATCATATAGGACTGTTCAGCCATTTCTTCACACTGCTTTATGTGTTGCATTTACAAGTAAACAGCTCATTTCATTCTGTTGTGGCACAGATACCCTCTACCCATAACAGAGTGAACACACAGAATAACATTCCTCCGGTTGAAGATATGTTTAGTCTCACAGTTTCCCAAAAACATCATATTTTACAATTCTGTTAATTGTTTTGTTTTTATAGTACATTAGTACAATAATGTGTGTGAATCCTGTTTTATTGTACTTTATATATTGGTGCTATCAAACTGGGCCTCTGTTTTCTGAGGGTACAGTAAATGATGAACAGCTAGATCATGTAAACTAAGAGTACACTTGACCTGAGTAAAGGAATTCATGTGCTTTGTGTGTTCAATTATAATAAAGGTTTGAATTACGGAGCAACCAATCTCTGCTGTTCAGTGCTGTTTGTGATACTGCTGTGGATTACAAATACTTCTGCTGATAGCTGATATATAATTTTAGGTAGATGTCTGATATCTCTATCTGATATCTTTCCATGACAGATGTGTATAAACACCCCTAAAACTAGAGACCATCATATGACACCTAACATACAGATATACATTGAAATCCTGCAGAAATCATTCAAACACACCGAGTGACTTTATCTGCAGCACACTTCCGTCAGCTGGTGTCTTTGAAACACAGCCTGCATGCTACAACATTCTTTCTTGTTGCAGTGGATTTCCCAAGCTTATACAAGCTGTCGGGAGACATGATGTACACCTACAGTATAAAGCACAGGCTACGCTGATGAAGGTTGTGTATGCAGGAATAACACAAATGAGAGAGCTTAACACAATTGCTGTCCACATAAAACACTTTAATGTGGTGCGTCAATGATACAAAGGCAGCATTTACAAATCCAAAAATATTGCTTTGCTATTTAGACTGGGAGCATTGAGCATTATTTATCTAGATAATATAAAATCATAGTTGTTAGGAAGAAAAATGATTTCTTATAGAATGTCACTGGGAACTCTAGTAGATGTGGCAAAAGAAGCTTTACTTATACTGAAGAAGCATACATACAGTACGTATGTAAATGTGGCAATATATAAAAGTAGCAACTGATAAAAAAAAGATTTCTTTTATACATTTTCATTTCTTTATATAAACTTTATATAAAATGTGTTTATCTATTTATTTTTCCTATTACTTGTATAAAAGGACATAAGTATTACCATCACAGTGTACTGCAGCATCAAAGATAAAAGTCATTACAACACAAAAGTCATGTCTAAATTCTGTACTGTTGATATCATCACTGAAGCATTAACATGTAAACAGCACATTAATGCTGCAGTCAAGTAAAAATGCATTTATATAGTCCAATATCAGAAGTTACAAATTTGCCTCAAGGGGCCTTAAGACACCCTCTGTCCTTAGACCCTCAAGCTCCCTACAAAGCCTGTTTAATGAGAAATAAGCAACAGAGGAGGGTTCCCTCTTTCAGGTCAGACATGCAGTAGCTGTCATGTGTACAGAACAGAAAATATTACAATGCTGTTTAGAGGAGCTCAATGTTTTTCTGGCATTTTGATGAAAAAAGTACATGACAATCAAAATAATTAAAAATTAAGGGGAGTTGTGTTGGAGAAGCTTGAAGTATATTTCTGAAAATCCTACCTACTCTACCACCTGAACTTCTATAAATTATTTCCCTGTTCAGGTCCCCAAATTCTATAGAATAATTCAACAGCAGTCTGGCACAGTACAACACTGCCCTCATTTGGTCTGAAACACATATTACATTCGTTTTTCTGTAGAAAGGCAGTGGTAGAAGTGAGTTACTGTTAACTGTTAACAGCTATTTGTGAACCATTCTCTAAAGCATTTATTTCATTCTCTGTCATGGAGTGCCAATGCCTATCCCAGCATGCACTGGGAGAGAAGTGGGATACATCCTAGCCAGTCACAGCTAGGTAAAACCTGTCACGTGTTCTGTTTTCTGTATCCCTGTAAGTGCACGCCAGTTTTAGTTTGGGCCACCCACTGCAATGTGGATGCAAAAACTTCATACTCTGTGTCTGGTCCTGACATGTACTTATAGTACATTGTGCAGTGCAGGTCATCTGAGTTCATGAAATCAGAATGCGGTGCAGTTTTTTGTTTAGCTTTCTCTATGAGGGATGCTGTGACAGATGCTGGTCCGGTGGACACCAGATCTAAGCTATACCAGTAATGTGGTTCCCCATAGCCCTCCATTATTGTTATTTCTTGTAGCCTCTGTGCTTTGAGCCCATCATCCCAGGGGATGACGGCTATGTTTAGTGCTGTCAGTAGATCTCTCCCTAAAAGACTGCACAGGCAGACACGATATAACACCACTTGACATTCACAGCTTAGCCTTGTTTTTTCATCTTTCACCTGTACGTGTTCAGATAGTTGTTCTTTATGCACCTTGCCGTTCACGGCTTTTACAAAGATTGCATCCATAGAGGATAGTATGTTTGGTACATCATCTGGGTGGACAACTGTTTTTGAGGCTCCTGTGTCACATAAAAATTTTACCCAGTGTTGACCGATTGTCAGAGTAATTTCTTCCTGAAGTCCACTGTCATCTCCACTGTTTTGAGCGTATTCAGCTCCAGGTTGTTTCGGCTACACCACAGGACCAGCTGGTCACCCTCCCATCTGTAGGCTGACTCATCATCATCTCGGATGAGACCAGTGACCGTTGTGTCATCTGCAAACTTTAGGAGCTTGACAAAGGGGTCCTTTGAGATGCAGTCGTTGGTGTAGAGTGAAAACAGCAGAGGGGAGAGTACACATTCCTGGGGGGGGCGCCTGTGCTTATTGTCTGGGTGCTGGATGTGGTTTTCCCCAGCCTCACCTGCTGCTTCCTGTCTGTCAGAAAGCTAGTAATCCACTGATATTTGTTTAGTAAGTGTGGGGAAAGAAAGGGAAAAAAGAAGGAAACACAGAAGTGGAATGTGTAAATGTGAATAATATTGAGTTTAATGGTTAAATACGTTATGCTTTACAAATTAAAGACAATTATTGTACAATTTATAGTGTTTAGTCCACTTTTGCGTGAGTTAAATGCACGTATGGAACAGACCAGTTGAGTGATCCTAAGTGTCGCAATATATGCCATTGAAGCCTTAAGCACATTAGAGGTGTACTAGGTCTTTCATAGTGTTACTACAGGAAACCAATTGACAGCGTAAAAGGCAGTAAGGACATGTAGTTTTGAGTAATGGCAGATATTTAGTGATATAAATGCACTTTACTTAGACTTTAAAGCTATTAATGGACTGGACTTACTGGACATTGGTGCACTAGATTGTATTTGATTGTATGTTTTGTATGACTTACAGATGATTTAATAGAAGTAATCTGGAGAAAGACGCGAGTGCTCCTGTCATCATTGTTCTTACACTCTACCTTTATTTCACAGATTGATTTCTCTATTCTTTTTGTTATGGTGGCCACTGTGCCCGGGACCCGTAACATATAGACTCTCAACTTCTATTTTCTCACTTGAGCTATTTCTTTCAAAGAATCTCAAAAATAAGAAGGACTTTTTTCTTACCTTATTCCACTGAAATCGCGCTTGTCATCAGGATCCCGTCACCTTCCGCTCACCCAGCAGATCCCGGCCTCACATTATTCAAAACATTCCCATATGAAAAACGCGACCGAGGGCTTTCTTATGAAAGGACTCAAACCTCCCCCCGTCCACGGTATCAGGTCCAAACCTGGGTGAGGGAGAGGATGTTTGAATCCGGCTTGAAGGACCAAGTTGTCAAAGGAATTTTCAAACAGAGCAACGAGGTCACTGGAATGGTTATAGCAGTATTCTTTACTTGCAGCAAGGAGACAAGTCAGCAGGAGCATACATACAGTTGTCTGAATGAGATAGGTTGAAACAGTACAATATATAGTTGAAAGGGAACTCCCTGAGGACGTAACCCAGGCGTTAATCAAGTGGTAAAGTAGATTTAAACAGCAAAATAGAATTTGAGGGGTTTGCCGAGATAACCCCTTAGACACTAAATAAGCTGGGTGCATGTTTATCTTCACAGTTTATGGCTGGGCTCCTCTAATTCTGAAACATCCTGTAGTTGAATATATCACAGCACACAGAGTTTAAAAAGAAATACAAGACATGTCCTTCAGCTCCTACGAGCAGTTTCTCACAGGTCTCTGTTCTGAAAGTTTAAAATCCATTGAATAGCATATGTTGGTTAATATATTGATTAAAACTTATTTAATAATGTAATTCTCCTGACATTTGTATTACCTAATTTAAATTGGGTAATACAGTGCATCTCAACATGATGTGGTGGATATGATCAAGCCTTGAAATGAACATGAATGCCCCAAAATGGCACTAGTATATTTAGTCTGTGTACAGTGTTTTATGATTCTATAAGACACTTTGCCAGGTCACCATATTTTAAGTGTCATTCACTAATGTGTTGTTTTCTTTGTTTTAGAGACAGATATAGTCACTCTAGATCTCACAGTAATTCCAAGCCCCTCATCAGTCTCCACCCCCATCGGCACTGGAAAGTAGTTCACCATTATCAAGCCCATCATCCCCAGCCACTTCATTATCTAGCCTGTCAGAGCTGCGCAGCCCAAGCAGCAGAAGGTTTTCATCCCAGATATCCAAAACATGGCCAGAATTGTTCCAAGTGCCAAAATATTGTGAGGCAGTACCCCCAGAGTTTTGCTGATGTTTTTGCAGACGGATTGCTTATGGCTGGCGGGTACACTTCACTCCTTATTCAGGTGAAAACTCGCATAGAGAATTTAAACCGAAACAGCAGCTTTGCACACCACCAAGCCCCACAGAGCTCTGGATCCAGCTCTGGACGCAAGAGGGGGCTTGCAGATTCATATGGATGTACCAGATTTCAACCAGAACTCCCACCAGGACAGACTGATTATACTATGAAACAAAAGCACCAAAGATTGGAGGAGCTCTATAGACAGGAAGGTGCAGATGGGGTTGAAAGAGCAGAGGTCTGTCATCTCATGAAGACTACCTTCTGTCTACTGCGTTGCCATATATATATGCGAGTCCAGCTCCTGCCATTGGAGATATAAGAAGCAAATGGCCTTATCTCTTCAATCACAGATACATCTCTGCTCATTTTGAGCTTCTCGCAAATCTTAATGTGCCACGTCTCCTGGAGCTTGCCATGGAGGAATCTAGGAAAGTGATCACAGAATATTTCCGCAACAAACCTACCAACAAAGATGTCCAGACTGACAGGGAAGACAGACAGACAGGGAAGACACTGAGGTGGCACTTCATGTGGTCCAGTTGCTGATGGCCCACTTCACAGAGACCACAGATGGGCTCATCCTTTTTGCAGATGTAAGTTTGTTTCTCTTTCTTTCTTAATTTTTATTGCCTTGA